ATAGGATTAAGAAGGCACCTGATACACGATATGAAGTTTTGAGGACACTTAACTAGTAAGACTATAGCTCCGTCATTGCCTCATATGCCAACAGGATCAAAAGAGAACTTGGGTTACTCTGTACTAAAATCAAAGCAACAGTCAGACTAGGGGAATCCAACTCTAACGTCAAACTAATCAATATGCAGCCTCAGGCTCACCACATATCCATATATGTCTCTTGAATGAATTTCTCTAATCTTCTTGGTCTCTTAAAGTTTTTAAAAACTTTGCCTTCTGATCAGGGGCTTTCCTTCACAGACATAAAGCCGGATTCTTTGAAAAAGACAAATATGACAGAAAATTTGATCCAAGCAGAGACAAAAACCTCATTCTTGCACCAAAACAGACTATTTGAAGAAAAGCATCAATCAAAGCAATGTCTTGTCTTAGAGTTAGATCAAAGAAGTAAAGTTTCATTGGGTCTGAGCAAACGTAATATTTCCATTTTTGTAATGCTTTCGGACACTGCTCTGTATCCACATTGTTCTTGATAGAGACTCTCCTTGTCGTGACCTTCTACCAAAATGAACAGATTTTCTTTCCTACAGTAAGAAAGTCAGTATTGGGCATTAAAAGCATTTTAAAACACCTTTTATTCTGGTTTTACTGGTGATTCTATACATGCAGTATTTATGTTCCAGTGACCACTGAAATTACAGTTAATTTAGCTAATTAATTAAATTAGGTTTCAAGATGTCTGCAAAGTTACAAGCTTGATGCAAGCAGAAAATGTTATTGTGGATCTGACCAGCTTATATGTTTAAGTGAGTCATAGTGATGTTAAGTGGCTTAAAAAACAGAAAGTAGACTAGAATGACAATGAGTGAAAAAGCAGCCAATGTCCACAGGAAAACTTTGAAAGACCTTCAGAAAGCCTGGAAAACTATAGCTCAGGATCACTTAAAAAAATTACAAGAATCTAAATCGTTGTCAGTGTGGTTCTGGGAAGGTCAGGAGAGAAGTACAACCATCTATGAAACACAGGGCAGGCTTTGTCATGGTTCTGTGTTGGGGATCTTGATAAAACTGATAAAATTATGAACACAGAAAAGTGCCATCGGAGTTTAATCCACCATGCAAAACGATTTGGAAAGTATCTGATTGGTTTTTTGTCATGCTTTTTTCAGCATGACAATGAAACACAGAACAGAAAAGCACAAAATGAACACTATCGGTCATGGATTTGCCTTTCCAGTGCCTGAATCTCAACATTGATATTGAAGCAGTGTGGGATCATTTTGACAGAGAACTGAAAAAGAGGCAACCAGCATCCAAAGAAGTGCTTTGAATGTCCATCAAGGAGCCTGGAGAACTATCCTGAAGTCTACTTCACGTCTGTTTCATTTAGAAGAAAGCTTGAAAAACAGTTCAGACTGTTTATATATTGTTATCATACAGTACACACACACACACATATATATATATATATATACACATCAGGAAGATGGCCCCAAGCGACCACGTGCTCAGTGAATACCTCAGGCAGTAGAAACCCAAGAAAGAGAAAGGCGAGGAACCATCATGGAAGGACAGGCCCCTGCACAGTATGTACCACCGGCAGATAGAGTAAGTGGCTGATATCCAGTACAGATGGACGAAATGGTGGTGGCTAACCAACCGGACATAATAGTGGTAGACAAACAGAAGAAGACGGCCATAGTGATCGATGTAGCAGTTCTCAATGACAGCAACATCAGAAAGAAGGAACACAAGAAGCTGGAGAAATACCAAGGGCTCAGAGAAGAGCTCGAGAAAATATGGAGGGTGAAGGTAACGGTGGTCCCCGTGGTAATCGGAGCACCAGGTGCGGTGACTCCCAAGCTAGGCGAGTGGCTCCAGCAGATCCCGGGAACAACATTGGAGATCTCTTTCCAGAAGAGAGCAGTCCTAGGAACAGCTAAGATACTGCGCAGGACCCTCAAGCTCCCAGGCCTCTGGTAGAGGACCCGAGCTTGAAGGATTGACCGCCCACAGGGGCGAGCGGGGAATTTTTTTTTTTTTTACATATATGCTGTAGGACTGCATGTTTCAGTCTCTGCATGTATTTCCCGTTTTCCTCATAATATATCAAGAAATGAGAAGTGCTCAAGACTTTTGCACATTACTGCATTTCGGTTTATGAATGGATTAAACAAATCCAACACATCATGCTAATTTATGACGTTATCATGTTTTAGACATATTTCAATAAAGCCAGACTAGCTGTTCTCTGCTGCCTCAGGTCTTTAAATTAAGCAATGCTAAACAATATGTGTCTCTAGCCAGAGATGAGAAGAATACTGATTCTCTCATGTCACTGACATAACAAAAGCTGGTAAGTGTGTTTCACAAAATGCTAACATATTTTGGGTGAGCCGTGGATCAAGTATAGCATCAGTTTTACTCCAGGCCTACAAGAGTCTTTTCTATAGTCTAACTAGAACTGCCTGTAGTTAAAGAATAGATACAGTACACACATATGTTACAACCTTTAAGCATTAAATAAATTGGTCAAAGTGTGGACCTCGGTTTTACAGGTTGTACGATTCTTCAGCCTGTAGCCTTTTCAGTTTTTTAAAAAACACATTTTCTGAATTTGACCTGTCAAAGCAGCAAAAAGCTGTGAGTCACTGTCGTGGAGTCGAGTATCTTTCATTGCTGAATCACTGCCCAGAGTGTGGTGGTCGGGATCATTTTCACAGAGTGGATTAGAGAGAAGGTCATTGTTAATTCCTCCACCGAGAGAGGGAGGCAGACTGCAAACCGGCTGGAAATCTTTTCAGGGCTGAGAGGCTACAACTGGCCTGAATATATGACTGGATAAATGCCAACAAGGAAGCAGAACTAAGGACTCAGTGGTTTTAAAGTTAAACAGAAACGGAATAAAATCAGTATATATCTCAAGCGTTTGCTATAGTTTTCTTACAGTACTTAGCAAAAGTGTATTTAAAGCTTGGATAAACGTTCCTGCAGTAAATGTTAATTTTTATTTTGGGGTCCTCTACAGGGCATGACTTTTCAGTTTTATATTAGCAAAGAATGCGGTGACTTCATGGACAAGGAGCCTAACATCAATGCAATACTGTCACTATTCATTTGGTGCATCGGTATGTTACCAAAATCAGGTGAAGTTACAGGATGCTGTCTTTTTGTGCGTTACATAATGCTGAAAAATACATTCTTGAGTGCACAGGAGCTGCCAATGCCTCAACAGGACCTAATAAAATTTAATAGTAACCTTGCCATTAAGGGAGGTTAAGAAAGTTTCACTTTGGAGTTTCAGATTCTCATGCTATCCAATGTAATCGCGTGCAAAAATAAGGGAAAGGCCCTTGTCCACAAAAAACAAAATGTGGTTCTTGATAGTTTTCCACATTTCAGCACTATAGCAATCCATAAATATTCTGTTTTTGCAAAAACTTGCAAGGTAGGCTAACTTCCTCCTCCTTAAATAAATATAAACGTAATAGTTTAGTGAGTTGTAAAAAGGAGAGCATGGCTTAAACCACGACAAAAACTACAACTGACTGAAAAATGGCTCGAATTCAAATTCATATGCTCTTCTTCATAGTGCAAGTTATCAGCGCATTTGATAACAAACCTGGCTGTCAAGTCTCTTAGCAATAATCAAACCAGAACACCAAAGAGACCACGATCCACCACAATTCACAGGTTCTTGGAAAGTCTGAAGTAGAGAAAAACAGGACAGCCATCAGTTCTAACGCCTCCCATTTGAGCCCCAGCCTACCCAAGCATGCAGTTGCCTCCAGGAACTAATCATGCCCTGTCCTTGTCCCTTACATTGAGTGCATGGCTGACAGCTCCTCCATCATCTCAGATTCTTTCATCATCCCGTGTACAAAGATGACATCACAACCCCTTAATGCAGAGCTAAGTATAAAAAATCTGAATTGTCTGCTTTGGTTTTGATCTAAAGCTCCAGATTTCCTCCACTGTCCTTGATCTGTCTTACTACTTTTTACCTGGAGGGGGGTAAATTCTAAAACACCTCTTTCCCCCCCCCTCAGGGCATGTTGTTACACTCTTTCGGGAGCTTGTGAACTAGATGGGAAGAACTGCCAATGTATATCCTCATCAATATGCATGGAAGAGATCAGGTGAGAGGTACAACCGTGACTGTCTAAAGTCAATTGTAAAACATGGTAGAGGCTGTGGCTGCATTTCAGCCAGTGTTGCTGGAGAACTGGTCAAAATGACTCAATTAAACATTGAATGAGTTGAATGAATGCAGAAAAGTACTGTAAGACTTTGGCCCATCCTGCAAAAAAATCATCTGGAAAGCACTGGATTAGCAATAGCTTCTTCTTCTTTTTTTTTTAAGTACGACAAATATCTAAAATAGTTGCAATAAAAGCATAACTGGATATGAAAATCAAACAATGGAACACTATCGGTTATGAACTGGAGTAATAGTAATGGAAGCAACATATCAGTTTATATGTGACAAATGGAAGACAAAGACTCCTGGAAGCAGCATCTTTCTGATTTAAATTTCAATTCTTTATTTTACTGACCAACGCTGTCTGAGCAGGTTTTGGTTACAAACACGTGGAAAGCAGAAGAAATCTTAAGCCAGATACTCAGTATCTGCTACCCACATATGATTGGCTTTACTGAAAATCCTCCCTTTAACGCAAGAGAACAACAATGAGTTCTAACTTTGGAAGCCAGTTAACCTAGTTTCAAGGTTTTCCAGTTGACTTTTGGGAGGCTATAAGACTCACTAATGGCAGCAACATATAGTTATATATAGTATAGTTAGTAATATGTCCAAATAAAAGCTCTTCTCATCTAAAGTGGAAAAAGATACTGACAACAATCACAGTATCTGTAATCTTTTCATTGGAGAGCACAAAACAAACATGAACAAAAATAGCGCTCATTGAATCACAACTATTTGATTTGATGCTTTTCACTAACTTGATGGCAAAGATGGTAATTATATTAATGCTTCTCACCTGACAGCACAGTGAATATGGCAGCAAAGGCGTTGAGCTTGAGCCCGTCGATGACGTTGCCGATGTGACACACTTCTATGGACATAAGGATGCCTCCGGTGGCCAGCAGGAGAATGTAGAGGCACTCTGCAACTATGCACAGCCACAGCACACCTGTGAAAACAGTTTGTTATAGCAAAGTAATGGCCAAGAGGAAGAAGACAAAAAATCAAGTTGTGTGGATGGTGGTGTTGAAGTGTGACGTCGTGGGGAAAGAGAAGGGAAATTGGGGCGTGAGGGAGAATATGGGTGAGCAAGGGTGAAGGAAGGGAGCAGAGACGTGAAAAGGCAGAGGAAGCGGGGAAGAGTGAGTGGAGAAAGGTGCGCCGGCAACCCCATCCCCCGTATCATTAACCTTCACAGTCAGGGAGAGGATACAGAGCATGATCTACCCAGAGACGCAGAGCATTCTGAGCTGGAGTCTATATACGTGTTAGGACAAAATATCAGCGGATTTAAAAACCTGTCAGTGTACGCTGTAGTGTAATTGCATATATCACCCAAGGGCAGGCAGTTAGTGTGTGGTTAATTAATCATAAGGTGTGTAATAAACGTAACATGCCTGTTACCCAAAATATCCCTGAATGAATTGTGGACAGAAATACGTCCTTCAGCTAAAAATTCTTTTTCTTGCTTGCTTTAAATTGACTTCAGTAAAAGATTTCTTCAGTTTAATTTAGGCAGGTGGAAAAGATAGAGGCTTTAAAACACTGCAATTAAGCCCCTTCCATAGAAATGTTTCTTTGTTTTGCTAAATCCTAGTGTTTTAATCATGATGCTGGCAAATGGTTTGCAAAGAGATGGATGCTCTAAACCTGTTGTACAGGGACAACGGTACAGGCTTCTGTTTAAAGAGTCTGGCATCCAAGTTATTGTTTCAGTCGCTGAAGATCTCTTTATACGAGGATCTATTTTGTCTTTGCGGCGAGGCTCATATGGAGTTGCCTGGTTACAGATTACTAATTTGCTGCCCACATCTTGTTATGCAGCATTTTACATGTCTGCACACAGTTAATTGTTTGCATAGTTAAAGAAAAGAAAGAAGCACATGTGTGTAGGAGGGATTAAAGGATAAAGATGGCATTTTTATTGAATTTTCTTCTTTTTGTATAAAACAATTGAATGAAACAAAGTGTTAGCCTGCCATTGTCTGAGGGAGTTAACCTCAGCCTTTCAAAACAGGTGTCATTTAATTGTTTTTTTCTTATTTTAAGACAGCAATATTTTTCTAAAACAGATGTACGCTGTAGTTTTTAGGCACTACAGTTCTGTTGTGTTACTGAAACATACTGAAATAAGGCATTTTAGGGGATCTGGTTTCAGTGGAGGAGTGAGCTATAAACTGCGGTGGGTAGTAACTAATTACATTTACTCAGTTAAATTTACTTGAGTACGCTTTTGGGGAAAAAAAATACTTTTAGGAATAGTTTTACTATACTGTACTTTTTACTGTTACTTGAGTAACATTGTTATGAAGTATTGCTACTCTTGAGAAAAAAGTCTAGCTACTCAGTGTGAGTAACTTCACTGAATGAATAATAAACATTCTAACCAAAAATGCACGAGACACAGACACAAATCTACAGTTTATGTCGAAGTGAGACTTCTTATTTGTTGTTTTAATGTTGTTCTATCTGCTGAGTCTGTTGTGCCATTTGGAGAAATAAAGTAACACCATATACTGTCACTGGAAGTATTTTACCTGTAGTATTATACTATTCTAACATATATTTATATCACCTTCTCTAAATATTAGTTCAATAATGAATTAGAAAAGTGTTTCTTCTGCTTAGATTTATTATTTTGTAATCATGTTATGTTCATGTTTTTTTGCTTTTCAGTCTTTAAAATTTGCACTAAACTTTATATTTTTGTCTGTCTGATTATCTAGCTTACCATCACCAGTGTGTGAATGGGTGGATGACTGGATGTGTAAAGCGTTTTGGGGTCCTTAGAGACTAGTAAAGCACTATATAAATACAGGCCATTTACCATTTGTCTCATTTTAAAAAATTAAATCAGATGTTATGATCAGTTACTCAGTATTCAAATAGCCTTTTTCACTAAATACTCTTTTACTCTTACTTGAGTAATTTCTTGGATGGCTACTTTTTATTTTTAGTAAAACTATGTTGAGGTAGTGCTACTTTTACTTGAGTACAATTTTTTGGCTACTCTACCCACCTCTGTCTATAAATGACACAAAAAGGAAGATTTCTGACAGCAACTACAACTGAGTGAAACCCTCCCAAAAAAACATTGTTGTCAGTTTTTCTGGAAATAAAGAAGCAGGTTGGGCTCAGTGGAATAATCAGGCTTTGGATTTACATTTTCCCTCTCTTCCCCGCTGATGGTCTAGAAAATATTCCCATTTTTTTTATGATAAAAAAATAATTTTTTTGTTTTGCTAAGTCTGGTACAATACGTATCTTCTCTGTCATGTCGTACTGCCTCCTGACAAAATAAACTGAACTTTTACTATAAAATTCTGACTGAGAAAAAATGAATAAGAAAAACTGAGTATCAAACATAATATACATAATACATTCACTACGTGCTAGCTCTAATAAAAATTTAGGAGTTGAGATTTTCGGAAACATTTTTGCCCCTGTGAATGTGACCCACGGGAGGATCTGCTTAATTATTGGCACTGTTGGTGCCAGTAAATATAGCACAGATATTTTTCTCTTCTGCTTGGTTTACTTTAGGAAATTAATAAATAGGACATAAATAGTAGCTCATAGCAACTTGCTTTCTTTCCAACAGCCTGCAGAGGGTTACAGCAAGAAGTACAATTGTTTCTAAGTCCATGAGAGCATATCCCTGCTTCCTACTTAAAAATGACATCAGTTATTAGTTTCCTAATGACTTCATGATCTTAATCACGAAGTTTAATGTGCTATACAAGGTTTGTTCATTTTTCTATGTCAGTCTCATTTGGGATCAAAACATTATTATGATTTAGGGTGTGGTTATTTTCTGATTGACAAGTTGCTGTTTCAAGGGGGGTTAGTGTCTGTGGGCTCTCATCCACACTCACCCCTTGTTTTTCATATTGGGTTGGAAAAACAAAAGCAGGAAGTTAACAGAAAGATCATTTTGTGGCTATGGTAGTTCATCAACCAGTGTGTGACATCATGATGACTGTTTCCAACCTCCACCCAAGACCCAGATGTGGCTTAATCCCCATTTTGAAATAATACGAGAATATGAGATTGACCATCAGAAAAATGCATGTTTAACGCACTTCCCCACTGACTTTGTCAGACCCAGAGACCAAGATCCTCTTTCATTTGTACTCTGTGTGCTAAACACCGAGACTGCAACGAGAGGCAGATTTTAGCACAACAGCAGCGTTCGGGGCACTAATTAACTGGGAGAAAACCACGTGGATCTGATTGATTTACTGTTTTGGTTTCTTATTGCCTAGCAGCAGCACAAGTGATTAGGTCATCCACAACTCCATGGTGTCACCAATAGCTGTTGATTTTTTTTCCCAATATAGGATAATTATGTGAGAAAAAAATCTGGGGTGGAACCTGACTCACTTTCAAATGACAGGAAGTCAGTGCTGATGAAGAAGAAGATGAAGATGAAGAAAAAACTTAATACATCACTTGGAGGCCTAAAGACGCTTAAACAAATGTCTAGAAAAAAATATCTGAAAGAGGGTCAGTGGAGAACCAAATGACTTTGGCCAGCATTTCATCACACTGACAAAATTACTGAAACGTCCACTTCAGATTCATCTGCTTATTTAGAGTCACAAGAAAGCAGCCATACAGATGACAGAGATCTTTGGGTTATTTTAAGCCTTGAGATGACAAAATTGATAAAGGCTCTGATTGACTGAGAATTTTGCCATGTCCCTGAAAAAGTCTTTATTTGCAGTAGCATTTTATATGTAAAAAAAACAAACAAACAAACAAAAAAACTTACCTCTTTCGTTTGATGGTGCAACATAAAGGAAATTTCTGCAATTCTCACCTGTAAAAGAACGTAAATTAAACATTTATTTCATGTACCAAGCTGATAGCATGTCAGACTTCATATGTTTTTCCTCCATATTCCACAAAGATAAAGTTACGATGTAAAATTTAAAAGAAAAAGTTCCAGTCTGTGATTATGTAGTAACAAGAACACCCACCCCCCCTCACCCCCTCTTAGGGTGTCACAGTCTTCTGCCTGAAATGCAGCGTATAGCTGTGTGCTGGCCAGAAATTCTACTGTCAGTGCAACAAATGTATTTATGGTGGTCTGCACACAGACACGTAGTGCTTCACACTGAAGAACCACTGAAGCGGGTGAAATATACCTTTAACCTTGCTTTGCTCATGTTTTTGCCCATAAAAACTATTCCAAGAATCATTCAATTAATCAACATTACATATATTTAGTTTGCTCTTTTCAGGCTCCCAGACATGATTATTCCATTGTCTGCTTGTTTAATCATAAATATTACTAAATTGTGATTAATTAGCGTTTTATTCATGTATTTGTGTTTGCAATTTAAATGTCTTTGCGTGTACTGACATTACATCCTGAACCTGAGTTTATATAAATCTGTCTATGAACTTCTCTATCTGATATCCTTTGAACAATGGGCACAAAAACCTGTTAGTTAAATATAATACTCATTGTCAGATTATGACTTCCTGGTGACATTTCCATGTAATTTTCTCAGTAGTTTCCGAGATTAATCCCCAAACCCAGTCCTTGTTGATGTGGAACTGAATGTAAAAGTCAATGCATTAAAATCCGGACTTTTAATTTTATTTCATCGCAGCTGGAGCAGCACGTCTCCCTCCGTGACGCACCTCCCCAGCGCGCACAGCGGTCCCGCCGTCAGTCCGCCGTTACTTCTGTAGAAAACCAAACTTACCGGTCATGTTGATGTTCTGCTCGCAGGAGAACCAAATGCCGGTGTGAAACTTCCTCAACACGTACTTGTCCTCCCCGGTCTCCCAGATGTACTGCACCAGCCGCGTGTCGTTGATGTTGGTGCTGTTGAACCTGATGCAGAAGGACTGCTTGGTGGTGACCGGTCCTGTGCAGAACGGCTTCACCACTTTCCGTGTCCCTTCGCACCAGTAGCTGGTGGTGAGAGCCGACACAGCCAGGAACAAGGCGAGAAAGTTCAAGGTGAGAGCCAGCGATGCTCTCCGCCGCCGGTCTATCCCCATAACGGCAGAGGGAAGAAGTAAAGACGCCTAACTTAATCCCTCGCCCTGCGAGACACCGGATTCTGGTGACTTCGCCTCAAATCCTCATAATCCCGTTATTCCCATTAATATCCTCGGCTAATTATCACGGTACATCTGGCTTCTTCAGCGTGCCTCTCGCTTCTGTTCCTTCACAGCGGCGGACTCTCTCATTTTGTAGGTTTTCGCCCCCCACTTCCATCCTCCACTCCCACACACACCCGGCGCACTCCCCCCTCTAGCTCTCACGCACGAACTCTTCGGCGTCGGAGCTCGGGGCTCATTTGTTCCTTCTTGGTCCCTTTTAAGAATTATCACCACACGCCACAAAATGTCATAAAAATCCCCCCCAGCATTTTTGTTTCTTTAACGGCTACTTTTCCCTCTTGATCATTTCTGATGTTTCCAATGAACAACACAACAGGATCCGACTGTGTACCATGCACTCAGAAAAAATGGATGTCACAGTCATTTAGCCAGTGCTTTTACACTCATTGTCTGATCAGAGGATGCTTTTATGTTATTACTTTATTTCGATAACTCACTTTTGTGTCGGTTTATAGCCCATTTCTCGAAGCGTTGGGGGAGGTGGTATTTGTCAGAGTTTAGAGTGGAAACTATTTGGCTATTATGGATAAAACAGAAGAATAGGAATGGAAATAAAATGGAGCAAAAAACCCCAAACAAAACAGCACAATCTGCCTTGGACAGTAGCGCATACTGCCCCCAGGCTGACCCTCCCAGTCAATAAATACTTTATTTTCTTTGTTTCACTCAATTCTCCTTTATTTTTGACACTCAGAAAAATACACACCATGTATTCAGCTTCTTTAAGTACTTTATGGTTTTATCTTTAAGGTGATTCACATTAACCAATGAGAAACAACTTCCATATATTGGGATCCCTGTATGTGTTTGAAAATTGACCTCTGCTTTTGGCAGAGGTGGGTATTTAAAAAAAAACTGCTATAAAACCAACTAAATTGTCACATTTGACACTTTTTATGTCATGACAACCATGTATTGACAATATCCATAATATTGAAATGTCACTATAATGTCATTAATGCACATATGATAATATAAAGTACATTTGTAATTAGTCTTTTTGTCAGCTTTTTTGCAGGCATAGTCTCATCCATGAACCTCTAGTTAATTTTGAATTGAATGAGTTTACCAAAAGAAGTACAACACAATGACTTGAAGAGACGGATTTGACATGTTATGTTATTGTGAATTTCATGATATTAGTCAAGTAGATATTGATTGGCATCAATACAGAAACTAGAAACACAATATAAACCTCATATGTTACAGCAGAATAGACTGAGAATCATTTTTTTTACTCTTTCTTGTTACTATGTCAGATTTCTATTCTGTTGAGGTATTCTTGGTATAAAGAATTATTTTCTTACCTGTTAACAAATACAAGATACCGAAGTACATAAAAACGTTTTTTTCCCCCTTGACTCAAGAATGTTTTTTTTTTCTGTGAGATTTAAAGCTATCTTTAAAGCAGATATAAAATAAAAGTGATCAGGCAAAGGGCTTGTTGCAGTTCGGAGAGAAAATTATTTTAAAAATGCAAGGAGAATCACCATGTGACCCATAGGGAATACACGAAGGACAGATGGAGGAAGAAGGTTAGCAAAAGAGTGTAAAAGGTTTGGTGATGCAGCAGGAAAGAACACTGGGTAAAAGTGTCTGTTCTGAAATGGCCAGTGAATTCATTCAGAGAAAATGTAAAGATGACCTGGCAGGAAAAAATAAAATATATCAAAATGTGACAAGAAAACAACAAAATAGAAATGAGCAGCAAATACAGGAAACACGAGCAAATCCTGATGCAGGGACTACAGAGTCAGACTAATAGGGTGGGGACATATGTTGACCCTAAACACAGAGTTTTCAGTGTCACAGTAGTGGCGCTCTACTAATCTGGCTAGATCACCATGGCAACATTTGGTCTTAAATCGCTACATTTTCTCAGATTCCTTCATCTCTGAGCAATACTAGCTCACATATCCTGTATGAAAACCTATTTAGCCATAAGTTTGCAATGCTAATGAATAAGGAAAATGCTTGAATCGGGATTGATTTGTTGCCAAACCCATTTTATGCTAAAAGCGTTGCAGGTGAGAATGTAGCTAATAAGACACAGAGTAGAAAATGCATTAGACACAGAATAGTCAACCAATAAAATTCACCTCACTTTTTTGTGATATATAACCTGTGTAAGGTGTAGAAGAGAAGATTGTGACTTACTATTCCTAAATCATCCGATCTCCACACAGCTGACCCCTGACTATTCAGTATTCGCAGATCATTGTCTCTGATTAATTGGAGGAAAGAAAAGAAAAATCAAAATTTTCCATATTCATGGAAAAATCACCTATTCACTGACTTTTCTTTGTAAAGCATATCTCAAAATTTGCTAATGATGTCATTTTTTTTGTGAGTAAATACATTTTTTATGATAACTAATTTTCAAATATTAACATGAATGTAAACACAGCAAAATATCAATAACATGTTTTTTTTTTCTTAAAAAACTTCCACTAAACAATGCAGAAATTCCCCAACACAAAGCTGTTTTTGGATGACGGTTTAATGTATATTTGGTGTTTGACCAGTTAAAATAGATAGTTATAAGTGTTTTTGGATCGTGTCTCAAGCATTTGTGAATTTCAACTATTTGCACGTGGTTGTGGTCCCTAACCTGGGGGTCGATTGTACAGGAAACAAACAGTAGAGATTCTAGAGTCTTTTGGGGCCCTAGGCACCCGGGCCCCCACAACCAGCATTCATCACCATTTACATTATTCAAGTGTCTCTCCCTCATAGTTAAGACTAGATTAGCAGTATTTGCATTATATTTAATGCTATTTTTTTTCACCAAAGGTCCAAGTGACTTCTTCAGTCTCAGCTAACTGCAGCTTTCCCCAATCTTATAAACAGTACCGTACATTTGCATATTGACTGAAACTAGCCCACTGAAGGAACAATGGGCTGGGAGGTCAGCTTCCAGGTCAGCTTCCTGCAGTCAGCTGAAACTTGGATGAGTGACAAAACGTTTCTCCCACTGAAAACGTTACGTCCAGATGAACAGAATCAATTTTTGGAGATTTACTTACCTGGATGACTGAGCATGCAACAAGATATTTTTTTGACTCCCAAAGAGGAAACTCGTTCATTTTCAGTAAGTAGCTTGTGTTCTTGTAATTAGGTTTGTTCAACAGAATCAGAATCAAGGAACGATACAAAGATACGCCCCGGATTGTGGATAGAATCCAATAGAATGATGCTCCCGACGGCAACACGCTTTCCAGCCGTGTATTCCAGCCCTAACCCTTACATTAAGCCTAACCCGAAACATAACCTTATCCCTAACCTTAACCACAACCTTAATCATATTAGATAGTGTTTTCCAAAGTGATTCATGATGAGAAAGTAAAATAAATGTACATGTGTAGATTCATTCCAAACAGTTCTCATGTTTCTGAACACGTAACATACAGAGGATTTGTCACATAGCATCGGCATGGTACGTTTTAGGATGAAAATATGTTGACTCCACTTGCAAAAGGAATGAGTGAAGTCAGGTGAAGAACCCTTAGGGGGTCGGACCTGTCCTACTGTCTCTGCAAACTTATATAGCTAATTATGGTGGGAATAATTAGTATAGTATAGTGTGCTGACTCTTCTCAGAAAAGCAAGAAGACACAGTCATATAAACACAATATTTGCACAGAGATAAGACCCTGCCCCATATATTAAGTGACTTTGGATAGTCTTGGTATTTTCACACCTACCTACAGCAGCCAGTTAACCACTCTCATCTTGGTACAGAAGCTGCTCTGCCAGCAGCCGTAAATCACTACAGAGGGTGGTGAAAGCAGCAGAGCACATCACTGGCATGAGGCTTCCTGCCATTCAGGACATTTATCTTCAGTGATGCCTCCGTAAAGCTCACAGCATCATCTAGGACCAGAACCACCCAGCACATCAGCTCTTCTCCTTGTTACCATCTGGCAGACGTTACAGGAGTCTGTCTGCTCGGACTACAAGACTTAAA